GTATAAATTTTATGAAAATCGGAAAACTATATCATGTAGCTGCCATATAAACCGATCGGTAGATCGGTAAAATGTAAAGCAGGTATATGCAACTGTAGCTGTCAAAAGTAAAATGTTATGAAACTCTGTTTTGTATGTGTTTTCAGCATTAAAATTTTGAATATAAATATCAAAACCAATCTGCAAGGGTATACAAACTTCGGCGTGCCGAAGTATCGATAAAAATCCATCAGTGATCATGTTCTGCTAAACGCAACCAATAACTATTCTATTCCTTCAGTTGAACGGATTTGTGTAGAATTTGCCTATAAAACCACCGGTGTTTATTAATATTTTTGTACTCCACTTTGTGCCTTCTGCGTTTGTTGTTTGCGACGTCGCGACTGTTTAATTACTGCTTAATCCTTCGCTCTGCCGCTCTTTTTCACCATCGGCTGTGTGACAACATAGTGCTAGTATTACACGATGAAGATCCAAACTACGGGAGCTTTCTTTAAAAATAAGACTGAAGATAGCAAGATTATGTCTGATTTTATCGGTTGAGGGAGAGTAGGTAGTTTTAAAAAACTCACCAAAAAGATCGGCAATGGCGATGTAGTTTTATTAAATATAAAGCGTGGAAGAACTATTTCGGCTCCTACGTGAACTGAACCCTACAGCGAGTTAAATCTTGATTCTTTAAAATAGTCCCCGTATCGATGGTCACTTCGAAAGTAAGATGGTAAGGGTCTTTAGATAGCATTAATGGATCAACTCTAGTAAAGTATATACCTACAGGATCGGATGGGTTACTGGGGTTCACCCAGTGGTTGCCGACCAGAAGCTGATTGTTTACGCTTTGGCAACTCATTTAACATTCCGTTGCCCGGTTTTCGAGGTCTTTGAACATCACGTGTTTTTCGCAAAGGCAATTAGGTCGCCTGGCTTACTCCTGAAAGCATCTTCTAGGGATGCCAGAACCGGAGAGCCTAGGTATCATATCCTTGCCCTCGTTTGGGTAGGCCATTTGCATATGAGATGCTCCTAGGTTTTGTTTGCCTCGGATTCATCACATTTCCGGCATTTGCCGTTGCTGGGTATCACCCAGCTTGATTGCTATGCTGCAGAATTCCCACTAACATTCTGCAATCCTTTCGTGGAATATGCAGCACTTAGTGACTGAGTTGAGCTCTTTGCACATGATTTTTGATATTTTGCAGGTTGTGGAATTACTCCTCTTACGGCTTTTTGCGCTTGCTTCAGCCCGTATCTCTAGCTCGCTTTGGAGCGTTCTTAGGGAGACAGGAACGCTTTCCATTCTTTCACTCGCCAGTCAGGCCTCGTTACCATCTATGCCCTGGAACCTAGTAGATCCTCACTGACTTAGTCGTGTTTAGTATATCTGGGAAAAAATCGATTCTCAGCAAATCGGTTTTTTTTTCGATTTTTTAGAAAATAAAATCGATTAAATCGAAAACCAAATTTTTTTATTTCTTACTTCAAATAAATTCAGAGAAAAACCAAAACTTAAATTTATTTACATAATCATTCATAAAACAATGAACCAAAAATGTGTTCATAATAAATCAAATAGGCATTCGTAATTGCAGGCTTGAGGACTCAGTCGGCTTCGATTTTATAAAAATCAAAGGCTCGACTATAGCTAAAAACAACGGGTCCGGGCAGTAGACAAAATTGCGGAATCCCGCGTCTTCCATAATCCTAAAAGGCTGAAGATCAGTAGCGATCATGCTTATCAAAGCCTTATCCAGCGTAGTTTTTAGCGATGAGCCACTTTCATAGGATTTCGCCTGTTTAGTTTCGAAAACTGTTTCAATGTTTCGTACGGCATTAGGAACGCTAAGTACAGTTGGATGAAATCGCTTCAATTAAGTAAGTAAGTAAGTTAGTTTGTCGTGTTTCCACACGTTTTGTAAATTTGGCCGCAGATAAGGACTCGCCAGGTCTAAAATTTTGCCAAACGTTGGACCTTGCACATTTTCGCTTGGGCTCATTAAGTTCGCCCGAATCCCAATGGTTTCCTACAAATTGAAAATAATAATAAATAATATGTATATATGTATAAACTTTACAACACATGTATGTACTAGACTTCTGCATGAATGCATCAAAAACGACAAATGAATAGCTTATTCTAGAAACGGGCACACTCTTTTTTCTGCACAGTATACTTGGGTGTGAGGGAGTAGGGTAGTATTGTCTGTTTTGACAGACAGTGTTCTCACTCATTCCATAGTTGTACAGCTGTTTATGAGTACAGCAAAAATTGTGTGCAGTAGTCAAGGCACTGTACAGTGTTTTGGTGTGCAGTTGACTTATTGTACAGTGAGTGAAACTTCATGACTTGTACATGCACACATATAGAGTTCTCGTGTGTACTATGTATTTCTTATAAAGAATTTTATTTTATTAAAGAATTTATATTTAATTATTATTCATTTCACGAGCGTCGTTTTCTTTGCAATCCATTTTTATGCACTTATTAAAGAATACTGAACTCATCTGCACAGTTGTACACAGACAACTAACAAGCTGTACAACTGTTTAAAAAAAGGACAAATATAGTACTCACTCCCGAAGAGTACAACCATATACTGCACTCACTCAAAGTGGGCACACTAAAATTGTTGTGCTATCTTCTTCTGGCCTATAAAGTATACTGTACAGTAAAGAACGGGTGCAGTATTTTTAAGAACTCTACACTACTGTACAGATCTGTTATGCTACAAATGAGTACACTCATGCAGAAGTCTAGTATGTACTATGTACGTATTGGCAAACATGTGAAATGAAAAACTTGAGCTTCGCGAAACACGTGTCTAAAACTAAACGTAAGAATATTTACCTGAGAGTCGCAAAAGCTTGTTCATTTTGCTCCAATTCACAGATCCACCAACACACACAATCCTAACGAAATCTAAAAAAATGTATTAAAAATTAGAATTTTAACTCAATTACTCTTATGTTCACGTCCTCTTCTTGCTAAACCGAATGCATCGATGCATCGACCAAAAAGAACGAATCGATGTTGTCATCGATTTTTTCCCAGCTCTAGGATATAGCCCGTGCTTTGGCAAGGTGTATATATTGCGTAGAGCCATGGGGTGATCACTTCTTTCGTTACTTGTAAAATAGCTGTCAATATTCCATCTAGTCCCGGTGCTATTATCCCCGGAAAGGAGTCTGTAGCCCAGTTGATTCTACTAATATATCTTTTGGGAGATGCTCTTCTCCAGTTGCTAGGTCCTGCTGATTATTCGCATCGGTTACCTCAGTGCATCCTGGGAAATGCGCGTGCATTAGTGCTGTTAGGGCCTCTTCGCTGCGCTCAGTCCACTGTCCGTCGTCGCGTTTGAGCTGGCTCTGTATGGTTGGCTGCTTCGATAGCAGCTTCCGGAGTCTAGCCGTTTCCGGGGCAGTCTCTATATTGGAGTATTTCCTTCTTTTAGTCCCTTAGTAGGACTAAAAGGTGAAAGGTCCTTATTCCACCAGAGTGGCCTGTTCCTCTTTCTCGTGTCCAATATAGGGCATGATGCGTGGTACGCATCTAGCAGTTCTTTCGAGAGGGTCTCTAGGGACTTTTCTATGTCTCCCGCGAATTCTACTATGCCCGGAGAGATCCCGAGCCGTGTCGCGATAGTCTTCTTGAACTTTCCCCAGTTAGTATTCCGGGGGTTCCTGAAGACTGATTGTTTTGGGGGGTGTTCGAATGCGTATTGGAACCGTATGTACTTATGATCTGAGAAGGATGGTCTCTCAAGGACTCTCCATTCTGATACCAAAGTACCTTGTCTTCTTACAAGAGTTATATATAGCACGTTTGAGGAGACGGGACCTACAAAGGTGTGTTCCTCCCCCACGTTTGCTATACTTAATTTGGTTGAGAGTATAAAGTCTAAGTGTGACTGTCGTTTAAGTCGGGGCTCCCCCACACGCAGTGGTGCGCGTTGGCGTCTGCACCCACGAGTAGTTCCTAGTCTTTCGGTCTGGTTTCGCCATCTTCCCGTATCTGGGCTAGATGATGTCCTCTGCTTCCTTGCTTATCTGGAAGACTGCACTTTGGCACCCCTCCTTGGGTAACGCAGAACCTTCCAGTCCGCGGTTGGTATGTCAGTCACCTTGGATTACGATGGGGAAGAGTACCTTCGCCTATGGAATGGATGGGATTAGCTCTCTGTCCACCACCTCTAGCTTGGCCCTCTCCCACAGCGCCTCCAACTGGCAAACCGCTTACCAAACCATTTAGCCACCTATCACTATCAATGGTGTGCTTGGGAGCCTCGGGCCTTCCTCCATCCGTGTAAACATAGACTCAACGAGCCGCGCATTCACCATCGTCCACCGCGCCTCGGTCATCTTGCCGGTCTCATCGCTTTTGTCAATGAATGCCAGGATCAAATGTCGTTTGGTCACCTTACTGTTTTTTGCGGTTTTGATGGACTTCTTCGCTTTTTGGGTAGGGCCTGCCTCCTTAGGCCCGCGTTGCAGCTTGCTCTCCGGTGCGTCCTTACAGGCGCTCTCGGCTGAGCCTTTTGTTGACAAGCATCTGCTCCACCTTGTTGGCGAAACCGCCTGACGAGGTCGTATGGGGGAATTTGGCGAAGTGAAGCCTGCCCTCAGCGGTCCTTTCACCGGCCCAGGTAAGCTTTACCTTCTCATCTGGGGATAGGGCGGCTTTTTCTGGATCCGACTCTGAATGCGAAGGGCAGCCTTGTACTGCGCGTTAGCCTTCATTCCCTGGCTTGAACATTTTGGTCCGTCCCTACGCGGGGAGCTGGTGCTTGGTTTCGCCGAGCGGCTTAGGCTTTCCTCCTCCTCTGTGGAGAGCTGGACGTTCTTCAGATCCGAGTCTGTGTCGACTATGGCACCCAGCCACCCTAATTAATGACTCTTTTGAAAGGACCCACGATTTTAGAAATATTTACAAAGAGAACTAATGCCTAACAACATTCCGTAAGCAAAGTAATTTCAATTATATATTAAAATTATTTTTTTTTCAGAAAATCATCCGGATTTAACACCATCGAGCTCTTTTTGGCAACAACATGTGGCCAATCCTAGTAGTTCAACACCCTTCGAACCGCCCTTCTATTCGGCAACACATGGCCTTGTCCAGACACACCCCTCTTTAAATGGGAATAATGTAGGCCCCGTGCCGCTTAATAGCAACATCCTTGGAAGTGGATCGTCTGCGTCAGGCACAGTAAATAGTAAATCATCTTTAACCGCTGGAAGTGGCTATCTAAATTCACGCGGAAGTCTGCCGAGTTCTGCACGTTATCCAGCTAATAAGATAACAGGCACCGTAGTCGAGCCTAATCCAAAATCACCATTCCGTCACTTGGATTTCTCAACTAGTGCAACTGCGGAATTGAGACGCAATCCTGCTCTGTCTGCCCCAGATGAATGTGCACGCGCTTGCCGGGAAGGCGAGCCGCCAAGAATTTGCTATTATCATTTTACCTTGGAATACTATACCGTGCTAGGCGCGTAAGTATAATATAAATATATATATATATGTATATTAAAAATCGTAGCTACTGGTTACATATTGTTGATAGCAATGTACCAGAACAGATAGAAAACTCCTTTATCGGGATGGACCCCACTTAAAACGACTTAACCTTGCGTTCATCGCATGCACTAGGATCTTTTGGATACGTCAAGTAATTCAATCATTCACGAAAATATCTCATCGCCAAATAAAAGTAACAACGACAACACATTCAACAGACAGCGTTAAACTGTAGTTATAGTCACTCTAAAGCCTCTTCGTACAGTGTGTTTTCCCAGCTGCAGTTCTTTGTCATTGGATCCCATATGAGTGTGTTGACAAAGCCCAAAGTCGTTTATATATTAATATATATAGATTATATATTTTGCATAACTATTGACAGCCTCGAAAGAATAACAACGCAGCCACAAAACAAATATAAATCCGGAGTATCACTTTTCTTCACTCCAAACTTCTGGGCCTCTTCAGGTGGGATTTTGTTTTGTTGCTTCCCAAAATGTTTAGTTAAAATTCTCAACAAGAAGGTACAAGAATCAACGTTCCACTGCCTTTGCGATTTATAATCAGAGAGCTTTGTCTTCAGTTTGAATTGTAGTTTTTGGGGTCTGAGAAGTTTTTACTCTAGTCTATACGCATATATACAAAACATATATATATTTATAAAACCTTTATTAATGCAAAATTAAACGAAAAGTGAATAATTAGTAAAAACAGAGTCAAATCAGTATAGATTACATCTATCTGAAAGTTTTTCGGCAGCCCCTTATAATAAAGAAACTGAGCTCCAAAATATTGGTTGTAATTGATCTTCGCTTAAGAGGGGATATACATGTAATCGGTCAAAATTTTGCAATTTTTTGTGAATTTTTTTTATAGGAAATAGTCAAGCAATCGTCGTGAAACTTTGGGAATAGTTAAATGTAGAATCGGAGATGATAAAAAAAATTAGTTATAAACAATATTTTACAAAATGGCGGACCTATGGAACATATGCCGCAGCGCCTCGAGCTTTAAGTTGCCCTGCTATGGACACGATGGAGCTCGTAATTTGTGTCGGAAATCCGCCAACAAAAATTTTTTTTTTTTTTTTTTAAACCAAAAAGAAATTGTGACAAAAAAATTAAATTTTGTTTTGAATGAAAAAATGCCATTTTTAGTTAATCAGATTTCACTTCCCACCCTCTTAAAAAATACTAATACTAATTTTTATTACCCCCATTTTGATTCACTCCGATATGTTACATAGTTTTTTGTGAATAGTGTCCAAAGCATAGGTAAATATGCAAATATTGAAAGCTGAGAAAAATACGTATTACGTTTTGGATGCGCCCATTTTAACACTTCCCAAAAAATTTTGGTTTTATGTATATCCCCCTTAATAAATGCATGTTGACATGGAGAAATAATTGACTTACACAGGTGCTGAAAATGAGGAACAGTTTTGGGATGGCCGACAACTTAGAGATTTCTCTATACTTGTTGGCCTTCAATTTGCTACCTTTTTTATGGAGAGGAATAACAAATGATTTCTTCCAAATAAGGGCGAAGTGGGAGGTTTCTAAGGATAAAGTAAACAATTTTAGAAAGGAATTGAAAAGGCGTCGGCACAATACGGAAGCCCACAGCCAGGTATTCCTTCGGGACCTGGTAAAAACCTGGCTTAACACGATGAAGATCTAAAAGAAGAGAGCTTTCGTTTAAGGGAGGACTGAAGATTTGGTTCGATTTGGGGATGATGTAAGAATAAGCCTGATTTGAGTCTATTAAGTTGTAGTAAGTGGTTTGAAAAAACTGAGCAAATAGATCGGCTATTGCCTAATCATTATCTGTTGTTCTATTTTCAAAAGAGAGCGAGGAAGGATGAGTGGGTTTACGTCTAGTCTTAACAAAATTATAAAACCGTTTTGGGTCCTCGGAAAACTGGGCCCTGCAACGAGTCAAATAATTATTGTAACACTGCGTTATGCACGGTAAAAGTGAACCGAGCTTATAAATAACTAGATATGACAGTTCGAGAACCGGTACGTTTAAATTTAGCATACAGATTTGATTTTATATTTTTGAGTCGGGTCAACTCTTTGGTAAACCAAGGAGGCTTATTTGATGTTGACGGATAGTATAACGGAACACGTTTAATAAAAATGAATTCATAGCACTGTAAAAAATATCCAAGGCTTCCGCCATGTCAGTGCATATGTATAGATCGGACCAATTATGATAAATTATGAAATTATTCAGCCGTATGAAGTCCGTTTTGAAGAAAGAATAGGAAGTAGATCGGGCGCAGGTCATTTTTGTATGCATACATTTATTATGGGTGTCCAAAAAGACAACCTAAACAAGAAAGTATAGGTAAATTGTTATGAAACTCTGTTTGTGTGAGTTTTCAGCATTTTATTTAGGTTGACTTAGTCCGGACAGCCCTCGAGGGGCCACACATAGGCCAATATGGCCCATAGCTATCCGGGAAATTCCTGGATGGACCTAGAGACTATTTATACGGGTTTCGAGATCCTTGAATATCAAGGTGTTTTTCGCAAAGGCAAGGAGTTCGCCTGGTTTCCTCCTGGAGGCATCTTCTAGCGATGCCAGAACTGGAGAGCCTAGGAATGTCATTCCCTCGTTAGGGCCGGACATTTGCAAATGAGATGTTTCAATGTTTCGGTTGCCTCGGATTCATCACATTTCCGGCATTTGGCGTTGTCGGTAATACCAGGCTTGACTGCATGTGCAGCAGACAGGCAGTGACCTGTAAGAATACCCACTAATATTCTGCAGTCCTTCCGCGGAAGATGCAGCACGTAGTGGGTGAGTTTCTCGTTGTGTTCTTTGAACATGATTTTTGATATTCTGCAGGTTGCGGAATTACTCCTCCACCTGCTTTTTGCGCTTGCGTCAGCCCGTCTCTTTAGCTCGCTTTGGAGCGTTCTTAGGGAGATAGGGACGTTTTCTGTTCTTTCACTCGCCAGTCCAACGCCTTCCTTTGCAAGTTCGTCCGCGGTTTCGTTACCGTCTATGCCTTGGTGGCTGAGAACCCAGTAGATCCTCACTGACTTAGTCGTGCTTAGGCTATCTAGTGACTCCCTGCTTTCCAGTACATTTTTGGAACTGACCGCTGATGATTGCATGGATCTTATCGCCGCTTGACTGTCTTCGAACAAATTGACCGCCTCATGTGGACGGTTTATGCTCTGCGCAAACTCTGCTGCTTTCCTGATGGCGAATACTTCTGCCTGGAATATACTGCAGTAGCTTGGTAGCTTATACGACAGCCTTGTTTCAGGGTCTGAACAGTATATGCCCGCTCCAACTCCTCCATCCATCTTGGAGCCGTCGGTGTATATATTAAGGTGTTGAGCAGAGTCCTGGCCTGACTTCCAGTCATTTGGTCCCATGAATACTGTTGTGTTTACATCCGAGCACGTTCTGGGTATCATGTAGTCAGATGTACTGCTCGTCTCGACCAATTGAACTGTGCCCGAATCCTTGTAGCGACCAGTTTCCTGATGCAACCAGACGTTGTGCCGCCTTTCCTGCTGTCAGTTGCGCTTGGATATCTAGGGGATATATACCGATTATGGTTTCGAGTGCTTTGGTGGGGGTTGACCTCAGCGCCCCTGATATGCAGAGCAGTGCCTGCCGCTGGGTTCTCTCCATAAGCTTATTATACGTTTTCTTCTCCGTGGCTTGCCACCACACTAAGACTCCATACAGCAGAGTAGGACGCACCACCGATATGTAGACCCAATGCATTAGAGCGGGTGAGAGGCCCCATGTGCTGCTAAGCATCTTCTTGGATGCATATAGCGCTATGGTGGCCTTTTTTTACCCTCTCTACTACATTGGCCTTCCACGTCAGCTTGCTGTCAAGTACAATGCCGGGGTATTTTACTTGTGTTTTCGGGGTCAGCCTGGTTTTGTTAATTTTTGGGGGGATCCATTGCGGCACCTTGTATCTCTTGATGAAGAGAATAAGGTCCGTCTTATCCGCATTGATATTGAGTCCTACCTTCTCCGCCCACTCACATATCTCCCTGAGCGTTGTTTTCATGATCGAGCTGAGGGTCGATGGACAGACTCCCGTGATAATTATGCTTACGTCATCCGCATAAGCTGTTATCTTTGGTGCTTTCCTCTCGAATTTTTTGATTAGGTCGTCTACCACCAGATTCCATAGGAGGGGCGACAGAACCCCACCTTGCGGCGTGTCTCTGTGCGCTCGTGTCACCATGGAAGCGGTGCCCCAATCTGATTGTACCCGCCGGCAACTTAGAAGATTCCTTTTCCACAAGTTGATGGCGGGGGACGAGGTGGTCCCTTCTAGGCGATCCATTATTGCGTCCGTGCTAACGTTGTTAAATGCCCCGGATATGTCATATACATGCATATTCCTTATTGTTTAGGGCTCTCTCAATGGTGGCAACGAATGTAGTGCCGTCTCCAATGATTTCCCCTTCGTGTAGGCGTGATGGTTGGTCGACAGTTGTTTCCCTACATCGTTCCTGATGTATAGGTCCAGCAGCTTTTCCAGCGTTTTAAGTAGGAATGAGGTGAGGCTTATCGGTCTGTAATCCTTGGGGCTCATGTGGCTGCACTTTCCTGCTTTGGGCAGGAAGACAATCCGAGAGGTCCTCCATTGGATAGGGATAGTCCGTGCTTAAACAAGCTGTATATATTGCATGGAGCCATGGGGTGAACACTTCCTTGGTCACCTGCAGCATGGTTGGGAATATTCCATCTAGTCCTGGTGCTTTTATCGTCGCAAAGGAGTCTATAGCCCAGTGGATTCCACTAGAGGATATTAGATATTTTGGTAAATGCTGTTCTCTAGTTGCTAGGTCCTGGCGCTTATTCGCATCGGGTACAGTGCACCCTGAGAAATGCGCATGCATTAGTGCTGTTAGAGCCTCTTTGATGCCCTCAGTCTACTGTCCGTCGTCGCGTTTGAGCTGGCTCTGTATGGTTGGCTGCTTCGATAGCAGCTTCCGGAGTCTAGCCGTTTCCGGGGCAGTCTTTATATTGGAACAGAAGTTTCTCAATAAGTTTCTCTGCGCCTTGCGTATTTCCTCCTTGTAGTCCCTTAGTAGAACTTTGTATTCCTCATTGATGATATCCTCTTTCGCCTGCTTGGCGATTTTGAAGAATTCTTTGACTTTGTTGCGTCGGAGTGAAAGGTCCTTATTCCACCAGAGTGGCCTGTTTCTCTTTCTCGTGTCCGGTATAGGGCTTGATGCGTGGTTCGCATCTAGCAGTTCTTTCGAGAGGGTCTCTAGGGACTTTTCTATGTCTTCCGCGGATTCTACTATGCCCGGAGAGATCCCGAGCCGTGTCGCGATAGAGTTCTTGAACTTTCCCCAGTTAGTATTCCGGGGGTTCCTGAAGACTGATTGTTTTGGGGAGTGTTCGAATGCGTATTGGAACCGTATGTACTTATGATCTGAGATGGATGGGCTCTCAAGGACTCTCCATTCTGATACCAAAGTACCTTGTCCCCTTACAAGAGTAATATCTAGCACGTTTGAGGAGGTTGGTTCTACAAAGGTATGTTCCTCCCCCACGTTTGCTTTACTCAGGTTGGTTGAGAGTATAAAGTCTAAGAGGGACTCACCTCTGTCGTTTTTGTCGAGCTTCCCCATACGCAGTGGTGCGCGTTGGCGTCTGCACCCACGAGCAGTTGCTGGTCCTTCGGGCTGGCTTCTACCAAGCTCATGAGTTCTTCTGGTGGGCCCGTCCTGTCGTGTGCCATGTAGGAGGAAGATACCAAAAGGCGCTTTTTCCCGCTCTCTAGCATCACCACGGTCAGATCATCAGAGCTGTAATAAGACATAAGGTTAGCGTGTAGACCCTTCCGTACAAGTTTGGCGGTTCTATTCCTGCTTACCGTTGATGGAGGGAGCAAATTGTAATTTGGGGGCTTCAGTCCGGCGATGTCATTGCCTGAGGCGATCCATGGCTCCTGGACCAAAGCTATGTCGGCGGATCCTTGCTCCATGTCTATGAGGAGTTCCGCCGACGCGACCTTGCTCTTATGGTGGTTGAGCTGCAGCAGCCTGAGTGTCATGGGTACTGGCCTCACCTCCATACGACGGGTTGACTACTACGGTCAGGTCACCGTCCTCTCCTTCGTCGGACTCATCCAGCGTCATTTCCCGGTCGGCATCCACGATGGTTTCCAGACCTAGGTCCTTCTCCACCACATCTGCCTTCAGGGTGTGAGCAACCTTATCCCCGGGGTGGCGCTTTTTGAGGCGCAGGTATACGCTACCCATTCCCCACGCCATCTTACCGTATCTGCGATAAAGGATGTCCTCTGCCTCCTTGTTTATCTGGAGGACTGCACTTTGCCCCCCCTCCTTGGGTGATTGGGCCGCAAAGTGCAGAACCTTCCAGTCCGCGGTTGGGATATCCGGGTTCTGACGCTGCAGCAGCTTCAGCGCCCGGTCCGCTTGGATTGCGATGGGGAAGAGTACCTTCGCTTTTGGAGTGGATGGAATTAGCTCCCGGTCCACCACCTCTAGCTTGGCTCCCTCCCACAGCGCCTCCAACTGGCAGACCGCTTGCGTCAGCCACTTTCTCGTCGGGTCATCCATGCACTTTAGGATTTTGACCCCATTTAGCCACTCAGCGCCATCGAAGGTGGGCATGGGAGCTTCGGGTTCATCCTCCATCCGTGCGTACAATGATTTAACGAGCCGCGCATGCACCATCTTCCACTGCGCCTCGGTCATTTTGCCGGCTTCATCGCTTCTGTCAATGAGGGCCACGATCAGGTGTCGTTTGGTCGCCTCACTGACTTTTGCGGTGTCTTTGGGCTTTTTCGCCATTTGAGGAGGGCCTGCCTCCTTAGGCCCGCGTTGCCGCTTGCTCCCCGGTGCGTCCATAGAGGCGTTTTCGGTTGAGCGTTGCCTTTTGTTGGCAAGCGTCTCCTCCACTTTGTTGGCGCCAGTCGAACTCATGTGGGGGAATTTGGCGAAGTGAAGCCTCCCCTCAGCGATCTTCTCCTCACCCAGGTAAGCTTTGCCTTCTCCTCTGGGGATATGGCGGCTTTTCCTGGAGCCGATCCTGGATGCGGAGGGCAGCCTTGTACAGCGCCTTGGCCTTCATCCCCTCGCTTGACCGTTTTGGCCCATCCCTGCGCTGGGAGCTGGTGCCTGGTTCCGGTGAGTGGAGAAGCTGCACGCTCTCAAGGTCCGAGTCTGTATCGACTATGGCACGTGAGCGGCTCAACACCTCCCCTGCGCAGTTTTTTCGGCAGTAGCGTTGCAACTGACATGACCTGCTCCCGTCACATCAGAGGTGTAACCGCTGCCGACACGCAGAGAGGATTGCTCCCCCCCGTGCCCGCCGGTGGTAGCGGTCACGCCTTCCGACATTTGGGCTGACATCCGAGCTCTGGTTTCTTCCTTTAAACCCTCCAGAATGATTTCTTTTTCAGGGGTACCACCCACTTGCGTTTTATGCCTTCCGCCAGGCACCTCCACCCATGGCTAACGGCTCACTTTCTTAGGCTTTTTAGGGCAGAAGGAGTTGAGCCGTGACCTTTGCTAGACACTGTATTATCGCGGACGGGGCAAGCAGCGATGCATTACCCGTGTCCGGGCTAATATATAGTGCCCATTCCCAGCCGGCTCCCTCTGGGAGGGTTCAGATGAAGGATTTTTGTCAGGCCAAACGAATAAGAACGTCAGCTATGAATTTTTATGCGTACCGATTGATGATTCGACTAGATGTTGACAATCATCTGTTAAGATACCGCCGTTTGTTTCAACAGTACTGTGTCGACATGTACGTCAAAGTAGAAACGGAACGTCTCAATGTCATTCGTTTTAATCAGTCGAAGTTGCGCTCAGACGAGTACATCCACAGCTGAAGGACACGCGGCCAACATCGGTTGTTTGACCATTCTCCCAGCTACTTATGTTGGAAGCCCGCGCCATATGCATGAGTACTCGCAAGATGCGATGACGTATGTCCGGAATTACGGGCGCCCGGATTTATTCATCATGTTCACATGCAATCCGAGATTATGCAAAGGTACGCGGTTGCCCGTTAAGAAACTAATGAACAACGTGATTTAAGCGACGATCATCAAGGGCAAATTTAAAGGAGAGGAAGTTCTTATGCCACGAATTCCGATTATTCCAACAGATCTTCCATTCCAATTCAAGAGGATTCAGTTCCCAGTTCGATTGGCATTTGCGATGTCAATCAATAAATCGCAAGGCAAGTCTGCGGGATAAATCTGGACTTAAAATATTTTTCACATGGGCAGTTTATACGTAGCCTGTTCTAGTGTTGTAAAGCCATCATTATTTATTTTTGCACCGGATAAAAAAAAAATATTGTTTATCACATCGCTCTCCACTGATTTCGAGTCGAAAAAATTCCACAACAAATTTAAATTTCCAGTGTTCTGTTATTACTCTGGGGTTATATAAAGTCGTGAAATTGGGGTGAGACAAAGTTCGCCGGGTCCTCTAGTAGTATATATAATAGATCGCCATTCAGATCCAAATCAGAGCATTAAATAATATTTCATATAATTGGTTAGGAAATTAATGAATGAATGAAAATATAAAGCTATATATATAAAGTTCTTTTTTCTAATATTCAAGAGCTGCCAGGATCTAACATATTCCGCGCATTTTTGAATGATACACGTACATGTAAGAGTCAATTTCAGATGACTTCGTTTGGGGCGAAAGACGTTGGAAAGGGAAATTAGTTTTTTCCCGTGCCCAGTACCGAGACGGGACGTTAATGTATATATATTCTTGATCACCATTAACCGTTGAGTCAATCTAGCCACGTTTCTCTGCCGGACTGTTAACTGATTGATTTCTTCCACACGACATACTTTCAATTTTGTTTTTTTTTTATATATGTATGTATTGTGTAATAGAGGTTTACGCCGATGGTTAAAGGCATCGGCGGCGGCGTAAAGGTCAAAATGACTCGGCGGCGGCGGCGGCGTAGTAGTCAGAAAGAACCGGCGGAGGCGGCGCGTCAACTAAGGCAAAAATCGGCGGCGTGGCGGCGGCGTATATGTCTATTCTAGAGATGGGACATAGGGATATGTGAGATGAGACAATCTCAACGATTAATCGATTATTTATATGAGTATTTGGCCATTTTAATGAGTTATTTATTTTTTTTAAAGTTTTATAAAGAATAATAACACCGCAGGCCGCGCCGGTGCCGCACCAGCGGCGCGCCGTTATTTTCATAATTTGGCGGCGGCGCGTCAAATAAGGCAAAAATCGGCGGCGGCGGCGGCGTGGCGCGGCGCGGCGGCGTATATGTCTATTGTGTATACATTGCGCAATATCAGAAATATTTTATTTTTGAACCATCCTTTGTTCTTACATTTTAGTGCCTGTCAGGTGTGCACTCCGAACGCTACTAATACTGTTTGGAGTCATTGTCAGTGTGTTTTAGCTGATGGAGTTGAACGGGGAATTCTGACCGCAAATCGAATGATACCTGGACCCAGCATCCAGGTTTGCGAAAATGACAAGGTTGTTATTGACGTGGAAAACCATATGGAGGGAATGGAAGTAACCATACACTGGCACGGTATTTGGCAGAGGGGTTCGCAGTACTACGATGGAGTTCCCTTTGTTACCCAGTGTCCTATTCAACAGGGTAACACTTTTCGTTACCAATGGACAGGAAACGCCGGCACTCACTTTTGGCATGCCCATACTGGCCTTCAGAAACTAGATGGACTTTACGGAAGCGTTGTTGTTCGTCAACCACCGTCAAGAGATCCTAATTCTCATTTATATGACTTTGATTTGACCACCCATATAATGCTTATTAGTGACTGGTTGCATGAAGATGCTGCAGAGCGCTATCCAGGGCGTCTAGCAGTAAACACCGGCCAAGACCCTGAATCAATGCTGATCAACGGCAAAGGCCAATTCCGCGATCCTAATACTGGATTTATGACAAATACGCCATTAGAAATTTTTACAATTACACCTGGACGCCGATACCGATTCCGCATGATAAATGCATTCGCTTCCGTCTGCCCTGCACAAGTAACCATAGAGGGCCACGGAATGACGGTAATTGCAACTGATGGAGAGCCCGTGCATCCTGTCAATGTCAACACAATAATCTCATTTTCAGGTATGTCGCTAAAAGATTATTTTATATATATATATATATATTAAACACCAAATATGACATTTTATGGTTTTTGCCTTGTTCAAGGTAATAATATTTTAAAAATACAACTTTAAACTTCCAGAATACCTAGGGCTTAAACATTGCTGTTGAAAAATATATTGTCCTACATATGAGAACTTTCGATCTGCTTAAACCAATAAGATCTATATATGTCAGAGAGCTGCATTGAGTATGATCGGTCCGGATCGATCAACAACGCTCAAGCCGATCTCAACTCAGCACAGAAGATCGCCACAACATGTTCGATCGATCTTCGCGCACAATACGAACGATCTCGTTCAGTTAGCTTGATTGCTCTGCTTCCTGATTAAAACGGTTTTTTTGGTACCGGTATGATGATCGGAACTGATTGTGCAGAAAAAGAACGATCAAGTCCAACGATTCAAAAGAGCTCAGGCTTCACTCATGTTGCGCATGATTTGATTGTGAATGATGCAATCAGATTGAGAATTGCCTTGCGAAATGTGTTAAATTTTTTTTTTAACATATGTACATATATAATTATTTAAATGTTTTAAAGGAAACAAGTTGCGTTTCAACTAACTGATACAAATGACTTCAGTTATTTCTTCATAATTTACTCGTATAACTAAAATTTATGTAATGCAGAAAAAACTTAATATTTATAATTAATAATTTATAATTAATAAACAAACAGTTTGCGTCCGAGATTCTGCTAAATTTCGTCAGACTGAACCGAACCACTCGGCATGAGCAAATCAAAACCGGTGTGACCGAACGGTATGATTGCGATCGGCCTGAATGGAAGCAGCCGGTCTCGATCATTCTTTGTTGCTCATACAACGCGTACGATCAAAAAAAATCATTCCGAACCAAGTCAAGAGTGATCGGAACTGAATGTTCGCTTCGATCACGCTCGCTAACGATCATTCAATTTTGTTGATGCAAAGTTTTACGTCACAAAAAATCCGAGTCAATGATTGGGTATGATCGAAAAAAGTTTGATTGTTGCAGCTCTCTGATATATGTATACCTCCGTGTCTCCTTGCTGTTAAAACTACCTTGACATTTGAAGATGGTTTTTTGCAGAAATGCTCCTCAGATAAACGAGAAAACTGCAGACAAGAAATTCAATTGGATAATATAATTTATAATTTATTTTAAATTTATTTCCTCACCTTGGTTCAAAACACTGATTTATATGAATTGATTTATATGTCGTGACTACACCTGGCAGTTTCGCTTGGATTTCAAAATTAATAACATGCATATAAATCTATCTATCTATCGTAACCATTCACGCTTTCTTAAGTTCTGAATATGTTATGAAAATCAATTTATCTATCAGGGGAGCATTTCTTCAAAAATTGTTTGGTACAGCGATCAATCCGTTATTATTATTTTTATTTATTTACATATTTATTTTTTTCGCGCTTCCACCTCTCACCGCCCAACCGACCGAGGGGCGCAGCCGTGTGACGTACGGCACGAATCGCGAACTAAATAGACGCGTTAGAATGAAAGATGAAATTAACGAGGAAAGATTAGGAGAGAACAAAAAAATATAACAAAAAATATATAATATTATATAAATATACAAATAAATAAAAACACATGCAAAATTAGGAGAGAATAATATAAATATAAAAACAAGAAATGAAGATAACTTCGGCACGCCGAAGTTTGTATACCCTTGCAGATTGGTTTTGATATTTATATTATAAATTTAAATGCTGAAGACACACACAAAACAGAGTTTCATTATATTTTACCTATACTTATTATGTTTACAGTTTGACAGTTACAGTTTCACATTCCCAGCATTACATTTTCTCTGCATTTACCGATCGCGTCTATTGCAGCTATATGATATAATTGTCCGATTTTCAAAATATTTATACCAAAATTCTGAAATAATAACAGAAGCTCATATCTCAGAGTAGATGAAAATACGTTGAAAAAACGAAAATATAATTTTTTTCCTATTAATTTCCCGATCGTTCCTATGGCAGCTATATGATATAGTCGTCTGATTTTCATAAAATTTTTACCAAAATTCTGGAATAATATAAAATGGCCATATCCCAAAAATGATGCAATAATTTTGAAAAACAGTCAAGTTATAATTTTTTTCTAAAAATTTATCAAACATTTGTATGGCAGGTATATGATATAGTCGTCCGATCCGGCCCGTTCCGACATATATAGCAGTGAGAGAGAAGACTATATGCAAAGTTTCATTCAGATAGCTTTAAAACTGAGGGACTAGTTTGCGTAGAAACGGACAGACGGACAGACGGACGGACGGACAGACGGACATGGCTAGATCGACTCGACTGTTTATGCTGATCAAGAATATATATACTTTATAGGGTCGGAAAGGTCTCCTTCTCTGCGTTGCAAACTTCTGACTGAAATTATAATACCCTGCAAGGGTATAAAAATATAATATAATATAAATATATAAATAAATAAAAACGCATGCAAAATTAGACTACGGTGCTACACTACGAGCTAACTCTAGATATATTAAAGTTTTTAGTATAGAAGGGTTATCACTGCGAATAATAATATCAGAGAGGCGGTTGTAATCCCTACATAAAACCCGAAATAGTTCATGTGCTTCAAACTCCCGCCTACAGTGATTTATTACTAAGGGGATATGGGTTCTAGATGCTTATTAACCATGCACGAAATATGTTCAGAGAACGAAAGTTTAGGGTCTAAGCGAACACCCAAATCATGAACAAGAGATATTCTTTCCAGAGCGCAATCCTTAAGGGGGGGTTAGGTATTTAATTTTTTTTTTCGTAAATTTTTTTTTATTTTTTATTTTTAAAGTTCAACATCTTAAGAATGTGACCAAGTTTTAAATCGATCAGAGTAAAATTGACGAAGCTATGCGGAGTTGAACGAAGGTCGGTTGGTGTTCAATGCATGAGAATCACAAAGTTTAAAGCGCTCTCCTGAAAAATTCAATTCAATGGCCTTTTTTGCACCGAATTTACCTTACCCCCCCCTTAAGCGTATAAGTGGCAAACTGTGGAGTGACACGTGAAAATGTCATCAGCTTGCATTTGGAGCTATTGAGATGAATTAAATTAGCAAGACACCATGCTTGAAAGTTATTAAAATCCGATTGCAGGTCTGACTGGCAAGAGCTGTCCCTATACTGTAAGCATAGTTTAAAGTCATCAGCATACATAAGTATGGTGCAAAACTGTAACATTTGACTTTTTTTACATTTGGCTTAAGCATATGTTTCTCCCTCTATCAAATGACTTCAAATTTTTATGAAACATAGGGTATACGCATACCAACAAAAATTAGAACAGAAGATACAGACCTTTGAATTTCGAGTATTGAACTCGTGTTACAGTTTTGCTCGTCAGTGTAAGTACTCTGGAGTTAGTCAAAACTTTGTGCAGATCGTTGATAATGACTCCCTTACGGAACGCCAGATGTAAACCTAAGAAGTCCTGCCATTCAGATAACAAGATCCAATTAAGAAGATCAATCGAAAATCCCATTAAGTCCAGTTTCCGAACAAGAAGAGAATGATTAACAGCGTCGAATGCTTTCTGAAAGTTATTTCGGTACCTCCTTATAACAAAGGAAATGAGCTCCAATAGGTTGGTTGTTATTGATCTTCGCTTAATAAAACCATGTTGACATGGATAAATAATTGACCTACACAGGTGCTGCAAATGAGAAGTAATGACATTTTCGAACAGTTTTGGAATGACCGACAACTTAGAGATTCCTGTATAGTTGTTGGCCTCCAATTTGCTACCTTTTTTATGGAGGGGAATAACAAATGATTCCTTCCAAATAAGAAGAAAGTGGGATGTTTCTAAAATAAAGTAAACAATTTTAGAAGGGGATTACACAATATCTAAGCACACAGCCTGGTATACCTTCGGGACCTGGCAAAAAAACTGGCTTAACACGATAAAGGTCTAAAATAAGATAGCTCTCTACCTATCTGTGTATGTAAAACTGTAGGTGTACACTGTATATACAATATGTGAAATGTTAGTTAATGAAAGTTAACACTTGTTTTTAAGCATATATATTTTTAATTGCAAACTGCAGGGGTATAATAATTTCGGCGTGCCGAATTTAGCTTCCATTCGCGTTTTAAATTCGGTCCGTCAACTCGTCTCGATTATAACATGCTCCCATTCTATAGCGGACATCCTTCAAACAAAATTAAGCCTTCTTTATGCATCTAGTCGCTAATTTAAATTTTAAAAGTTGCCCTCTAAACTGGTCGCCAAATATCGAATGACAAAATGTCTCTCGTCATTGCTGTCGTGATCATACACGATCGAAAATTAACATGATCTTAATCAAATTTAACAAACTTCTACAAGCTGGTATGCAACCCTAACATACAGTGGCGAGCACAACTGAGTGTATGTTCACGATTCTGACTTTGGCCATCAATAAAAACCAAACCACACAAGCAAATCCAACAATTTTTTTGTATAATGTTTCTTAATTAATTTTTAGTTATTTTAAGAAAGAAACAGCAACTTATCAAATAAATTCAAATTCTTAGAATAAAAAAACGAAATAAACTCACATAAACTCAATTTTGCACGTTTTACCTACTTGTACCATTTTTCGCTTTCCATATCTTTTATAAACTAAATTTTATGTTTTTTGTAAAAGATCTAACTCTATAATTGTTCAGTTCTATTTTTGGTAGTTGTAGATCAGTTTAAAACGTGTTTTTGATGGCCAAAGCTGTATTTGGAAAAATATTATAAAAATATTTTAATAAAAGCCCAAAATTTTCCAAATTTTTTGTGATAAATTGAAAATAATGTTGTGAATCTAACAAAAAGTAGCAGTTATACTCGTAAAAGTGACAAAAGGACTTGGTATTTTCCAATTTCCATTCAGAAAAGTCGAAAGCTGACCCCCAAGCCTGAAGTCGTTGGCCGGAAATAATTATTAAAGTACTCAGGTGCTCATCTAATATTGTCCCAAATGCTAAATAACAAGCTTTTAATGCCAAAGGGTGCTTGTCTGACCATAAACAAAAATGTGTGTACATGTAATTTTCCAATATGCCACTATGCAAACTATTATATTTCCTTTACATGGTTTCTTTGAGTTCGATCGCCTGGTCGAATTAAACAATACTGTTTTTCATCACTGTGAAAACGGTAAAACATTAACTCATCAGACTAGTCAACTTGTTTTTAATCGTCAATGATCCAATTTAGGTGATTTTTAGTTAATTTTAAACGATCTTTGGCATTCTTATTGGAAAACGCAGGCTTATTATTTTTACGCTCGATATGTATCCGATGTCCTGCAATGCTCTTCTAGCAGTCCACTTGCTGACATTTTTGTTTATGGTCAGAAAAGCACCCTTTGTCATTAAAAGGTTGTTTTTTTGTATTTTAGACAATATTAGACGAGCACCTGAGTACTTTAATAATTATTTCCGGCTAACGACTTCAGGCTTGGGGGTCAGCTTTCGACTTTTCTGAATGGAAATTGGAAAATACCAAGTCCTTTGGCGATTTTATGAGTAGAACCGTCACTTTTGTCAGGTTTACAACATTATTTTCAATTTATCACGAAAATTTTGCAATTTTTGAGCTTTTATTAAAATATTTTTATAATATTTTTCCAAATACAGCTTTGGCCATCAAAAACACGTTTTAAACTGATCTACAACCACCAAAAATATAACTGAACAATTATAGAGTTAGATCTTTTACAAAAAACATAAAATTTAGTTTATAAAAGATGTGGAAAGCGAAAAAAGGTACAAGTAGGTAAAACGTGCAAAATTGAGTTTATGTGAGTTTATTTCGTTTTTTTATTCTAAGAATTTGAATTTATTTGATAAGTTGGTGTTTCTTTCTTAAAATAACTAAAAATTAATTAAGAAACATTATACAAAAAAAATTGTTGGATTTGCTTGTGTAGTTTGGTTTTTATTGATGGCCAAAGTCAAAATCGTGAACATACACTCAGTTGTGCTCGCCACTGTATATCGCTTTTAAGCTAAATCAAACGTTAGCAAACCTTCCGATAATGATGAGAATATGCTCAAAAACAGATTTACTAGTTCGCATAGCAAAGAGACAATCGGATATTCATATACAGATAGGCAAGTGGACGGGCCCCTAAGGGTCACACGTGGATCAAGAATATTATTTATTACAAAATATTATTATTATTTCGTAGTCATTAACTAAATAGCTTCAGTAGATGCAAATTATATATATAAAATGTTTTAGGTGAGCGTTATGATTTCGTTATTACCGCGGATCAACCTGTTGGAGCTTATTGGATCCAATTGCGGGGGCTTGGTGAGTGTGGTATTCGTCGAGCTCAGCAACTTGCAATCCTGCGTTATGCACGTGGGCCCTATCAGCCAACTTCTCCACCACCAACGTACGACGTCGGAATACCGCAAGGTGTGGTAAGTTGAAATCACGTAATTTACAAGTATTATTCAACATTTGGTTCCTGTATGAGCACTAAATTTATAAACGTACGTTCAGTTATATAAAGCAAATTTAAAAACCAGTGTCTAAGAGGTAAAAGGTTATATTCGTATTCACTGAATGCTAAATGATTTTCTACTTACACTTATCTCGTGAACTATTGTCTATAATGGTCATTCTTTTAAAAACAAATCAACAACAAAAATAAATCAAATATATACATTTCCAAAGGCAAGGGGACTTATGCTTTTGATTCTGACAGGAGTTACCTTTACCGTAGACTACTAATTCGACTAGAAAACTTTCTATTACTTACAAAAAATTTGGACAAAGTTTGAAATATAGGTTGTTTTGACACTTTTCAAGACTTAAAAACAAAAATGTTATTTAACGGTTTTACTGTTACTATTACTCTTTTTACGACGCCGTTTTCATGTTAGTATATTATTGGTATTTCTGAACACACAAAAGTTTACTCTGAATTCGGAGTTAATACGTGAAAAAAGTGGTGCAAATGAATTCTGCTTGAATATGATTATAACGCCGAGCGAAAATTAATTTACCGTGACGTTATGGACGCTTAAGGCCACTTTAAATACCATTTGAATAGGCACGATAATAAGCTAATTTATGATATTTTTCGAGACTTATAATAATTCATTTTGTTTTCCATTTTCTTGGGTATTGCTAAGAATTATTTCCGATTGCATATTTGATTTTACTTACTAGTATAGTGATTAAAAACAAAAGAAGTTTGTGGTAGTAGACCGTCCTGGCATAAATCCATGCTGGTTAGGGCTTATGGCGCTACCAGTGAAAAAGGCGAGCATGATAAAATTCCATCAAACATTACTGTCCTCCAGATGTAGTGGGTAAAGGAGTCATTTTTGATCAACATCAACAGCCGAATTGATCTAGCCATGTCCGTCTGTCCGTCGGCTTGTCCGTTCCACGCTATCTTGTCTTTTAGTTCTTAAGCTATCTGAATAAACCTTGGCATATAGTCTTCTGACTACTCTCTCTATTATATAAATCGGAAAGGGACTGATTGGATTAAATGCTCGGCAAAACTAGGAGCAACTAGCAACAACACAGTCATCGACCTACCACAAAAATGTAGGGTTTAGTAAAAGTTGGATTGCATTAGCTGGCAACTCCATGCAGGCATTTAAAAATAGCCGACGAAAGAGAGAAGAGCAGCGAACCGCCTTCGTCGAGCTGCACACTACGTAGCGAAATAGCACGTCGGAACGCTTTGAAGACGACTGAGGTTTAGAGGTTACTGAATGAGGCTTCGCAGATATTCTCCTTCTATTCTCAGTAGTATATAAGTCTTAACCGGCAGTTCTGCAGTCAGCACATACACTCTTTTGATATTGAGAAATCGATTCTTTGTCGTGTCTAAATGAAAACAACAAAGTTTTGGAAATTTTTGTAAATTAAAAACTGAAATTGTATACAGTCAAAGACCCCACATTAGATATTCTAATTCAAGTTATCATTTAAAACGAAATACTTCAATCGCAATAGCTTTTCGAAAGTTTTTAAAGCTTTTTATATCCGAGCTATCTATTTACAACGTTTTTTTTTGTTTCTATCGCCCCGGTTAGGTAACAAAAAAAAGTGAAAATTTTTTTAGAAAAGTCTGAAGTTAAACAAATTTTTTTGATTTATGAAAGAATGACCAAAAAGAGATATTTGAAATAAGTTACGCTTCAGCGATTAAACTTAAGTTTTTTTTGTAATGTCTTGAAACCCGGTATTTAATTTGAAAATGCCGGTTTTTATGTTTTCATTTGGTTTTATTTTGTTTGCTTAAAACGCGATTTAAGTCTAATTAGATACAAAATTATCAACAAACACAAAGCAAAAAAAAAAAAATTATTTTCACAAACATTTAGTTGTTACAATCCTTTGTAAGATTACTTTATCTTTCACTATTATAAGTTACAAAATTGTATAAAATAACATGTATATTTCTCTTATTTTTGTTTTAATTTCCGACCTGTAAAATATTACATATCGCAAAACCACTTAAATTTGAACATTCGCACCTGTAAATAAAACTACACAATATATAATTTTGAAACGACCGACAAAAACGTACAAAACTAATAAAAAGGTTATGAACCCATTGGACGCTCAATGCAATCGTCAACGCAACGATGCAATTTGTGTAAGTCAACTGAAAAACGCTCTTGAAATAGATCGAGGAATATTGGCAGAGAAGCCAGATGTGAAAATTTTCCTACCGTTCCGCTTTTTTGTATATCGAGCCGAAGATCTTTTCCAACCAAACACTTATAATCGATTTTTAGGTAAGTTTTTAAAGTTATCTATAATATTCCGCGGTTAATCAAACTTAATTTCAGTGGCACCTACTGGCGACCATGTCATTTCACTTATTGATGAAATTTCATACTTATCGGCACCGGCACCTCTAACATCTCAGTATAACGATATTAATCCAGAACAGTTTTGCAACGGAGATAATCGGCCTGCGGATTGCGGACCAAACTGCATGTGTACGCATAAGATTGATATACCACTCAATGCTGTTGTGGAAGTAGTTTTAGTAGATGAAGGTAAGCATGTCTGAATTTTATTTTATTTAATAGAATATTGGGTTTTAAGGTAATACAATTTCTTATGTAAGATAATGCCTTCACATAAATATGAAATCTTGAAAGACACCGTATAAGCGGCAAAGGCCAATGCTCCGTACTTGCTTGCTCAAGTTAAAAGCCGTAAGCATGTGTTGCAAAACATCCACAGGGACGATGTTACCGGTTTTTAACTTCCCCTTAATATTTTTATATAGGTAGAGAAAAAAAAAGCAAAGGGCGTAGAGCTCTTTACTGGTGCACACGGGCCGATGCGAGTTTCTGTTAAGAACAAAATTAGCGAGGAGTTGATACTCTTTTTATCGTTGCAATACAATTCTTTTCATGATTTAAGTCGGAAGGCAAATACGCCCAAATCAATTTCAAGTTTTTTTTTTAATTTAGTTTGTAGTCCTCGATAAAGTGTTATTCAATGTCTATTGTACGCAATCTACATGCTTCTGTCAGCATCATGGATTACCATGACTCAGTTTCGATAATTCCGACCACTATTTGGTGTATGCGCTTTACCTGGCCATTACCCCTGTATATTCTTTTCGCTTGGCAAGAGATTTTCTTTCTCTCTCTCACAATACTCTTTAAACAAGTGCAAAGTGAACTGCAATCACAATACGATTCATATATTATGTCAATAAAGGTTGGTTACATTTGTCGGTTGGTGTGTGCTCTACCAGCTTTTGCATTTACTAAGATATCGAACTATATAGCTGTTAAGAGATCGTAGTATTTGTTTTCATTTCATCATTTGGATGTCAAATAGCCTTGCCTTTAAGCATTACGGATGGTGCCTAATTCAAACTACCGGTCACCACAGAACAATAGACCCTACCGAATTCAACCGTAGTGAGGCTTTCGCCTCACTGGACACTGTTTTGCTCTACGCGGTCATCCAGCTAATGATAACAGATATGAAGCAGGGTCCATAATCGACTTCATTTACGCAATGCAATAGTCTCTCAAGCCAGATGGAGGATTAGCTGCATCTATAGAGCCAGCGACCACGAGGCCATCCAGGTCACTATCGGTGAAAAACTACTTTAGGGAACGGCACCGCTTAGTAAGGAATTGGTAAATCACTATTTTGATGATCTCCTTCTTCAATCTATATCCACGGTTTATATTTATATTGTTTCTCCTTACACCTTCAAAAATCGGTTTATATTCTGCATGTCTTCCTGGACACTTGCTAGCATAGTAAATTCCACAGGACTACATGGTGAGCACCGTTAATACAAAAAGCAATGAACTCACTCCTGCTCACTAATCGAAGGAATTATACTTTTGAAACTGAATATGAGAGAATCCGTTTGTTAAGACCAGAGTGGTTGGAATATTTCTACCATAAAGTTTCATAATAACTTAATCCATGCGTTCTGACTGAAAGTTATTTTTAACAATCTTTGATTCGTTAAAATAAAAAATTAAAACAAAGTGTATGATGAAAAAATTGAATTAATTAAAGTGCGAGAGGTTGTCTATTGCAAGCCAATCATAGAAACTGGTAAACTGGTACGAGATCCAAGATTATTCAATATATTCTATAGTTGTTTCCGATTTGTATTTTATTTTTGCTGATTTACACTTATTTCTACTAGTTGTCAAAAAGGACAAGATAAACTTATAAGCAGGACACGTAATCATTATAAATAAAAAAAAAAATAAAAATCAATGTTTAATGATTATCAATTGATTTTAGTATATTTGGCTTACCATTAATAAATAAAATGTTATATTTATTTTATCGCTCAAAGAATAATTATTATTATATTGAGCAAAAAAATAACACTCAAATCATGATGACTATTTTTTTGCGATATTTTTTCGTGTTTACATCTACTTTGATATATGAGCCCTTTTTAATATTACAGAGTTTTGGTATATATATTATGCAAATCGGCAACTATATCATATAGCTGCCATAAAAACGATCGGAAGATGTAGAGAAAATTTAAAGCTGGGAATGTAAAACTGTAACTGTCATAAGTAAAATATAATGGAACTCTGTTTTGTGTGTTTTTTGAGACAAAGATGAGGGCTAAGACGTTACTACTGCAGTTCCTAACGAAGTTTGTCCAATGAGTGGTCATGAATTAAATCGTGGGGTTAGGTGGGAACAAGAACATTTGAATCAGGTAAGGGCACCCAAGAAATGGATGGCAGTTTGAAATGTGACAATAAGGTGGTCATTAACACCAAGGGAAGAATGAATTTCTTGAATTAAGGATAAATGCTGCATATATATATCATTGTAGGACCTGCGAACATGAAATGTAGATAGAATAATCGTAAACTTGGATATAAACCGCAACAAACTCTAGATCAATGTCAGTTTTGAAATGATATTAGAAACCAGATCGGATTTAACCGCAATGAGAACACCACCGCCTGTCCGTATAGGACGATCACGTCTAAAGATGGTATAGTTCCCTGAAAAAATCTCAGAGTCAGACACAGAGGAGTTGATCCATGTTTCTGTAAAGACAATAACATTGGCATCGGAACAGCTGTTTTCAGTTGCCGATATGTTCAGTAATACAGTCGTCAATAGAATAAACCAGATTAATGGATTAATGTTTTCAATTTAACATTCGTAATTGCAGACTTGAGGTCTCAGTCGGCTTCGACTTTATAAAAATCAAAGACTCGACAGTAGCTAAAAACAACAAAAAGAACTTCTCAATAGACAAGTAGCAGCTGTGGTGACAATCGTTTCGTTGGCGCTACCCAACTCATCAAACCACTTGCTAACTATTGCTAATTTTCTTGGTTTTCAATTTAATAGAATTCATTAAGCGGGTAATAAAAAGGAAATTAAAAGCGCTAAAAGTATTAAATATATTTTAACTAAGGTATATAATATATATCAAGATATCTTGATTTAATTTATTTATATAATGCTAAACAATTAGTTAAAACTTAAAGGTAACAGAATTAACGAGCATTGGCTGCTGTGGCTTACCGCTCAATTGTGTTTTAACAAAAGAAGTATATTATTTTGTTGGAGATTGATTCTGTTGGATTCCCTAGGCGATGGATTGGGTTTTCGTGGGAAAAGCAAGAGGTTCTGGTATGGGAAAGTGCAGTGCAGTCTATTAAACTGTGCTGGATATCAATCACTGAGGTGTTGCAAAAGGGGCAGATATTTGTAAGGGAACCATTCATATAATAGGCGTTTGTGCCTTGTGTGTGTCCTAGTCGTAGCCTATTAATTATAATTTGTTATTGTCTGTTGAGGTTTGTGGTTTTGAAAGAAAAGTTTGATGGGGTGCTTAGTGAGATCTTTTTATACCATTGGCTAGTTTGTCTTTTGTCTGTGAATATAAGAGGGTATTTGTGTGTTTCTTTTGCTGCTGTGTCCACTCTCTCGTTGCCTTTATACCTATATGGCTGGGGATCCAAATTAGTCTGATTTTGGGAAAGAGTTTGGTAATAAGGGATCTTATTATATTGGGGTAGTAAGAGTAGTTGTTTATGTTTGATGTGGATTTAATGGAGGATAGGGAGTCCGATTATATATCATATTTGCCAGGTGATCCTGAGCAAATTTTTACAGCTTCATGGATTGCAATAAACTCGCTAAAGAGGACGGAAGAGTATTGGGGAAGGAGTCCAGATTTGATTATATCAGTATTATTGGTTACACTGTAGCCCACAGTGCCATTTTGAGTTAATAAATACATCCCCCGTTTTCGTGGAGAGGAAAAATTGTTTGTTTAATAATAGGCTTTGAGACTTAATTAAAAATAATAATAAATAAAATATGGTATTAAATTAGATATTTCAGAGAAAAGTATTTGTTTGTTTAATAATAGTTTTTAGGCTTTAAGACTTAATTAAAAACAATCATAAATAAACAAAAAAAAATATATACATATATATATAATAATAGTTTTTAGTATATATATAGTAATATATATATATAATATTTTTCTATATTCCCCTTTAGTTTTTCTTGAACATGTGAACATAGTAGATCATTTATTATGGATCCTATTGCAAACTGCGGCGTGCCGAAGTTAGCTTCCTTTTGTGTTTTATACAGAAAATGTATAAAAACTAAAAAAAAAAATTTTTTTATTATTTATACAGTTCAACAACCTAACTTGTCACACCCATTCCATTTGCACGGATACGGGTTTAGTGTCATTGGCATAGGGCGATCGCCAGACTCTTCTGTTAAGAAAATCAATTTAAAGCACGCTTTGGACCTTGATCGTCGTGGACTTTTACATCGACAGTATAATTTGCCACCGACTAAGGACACTATTGCAGTTCCCAATAATGGTTACGTAGTGCTGCGATTTAGAGCTGACAATCCTGGTATGTTTGAAGACAAATTAGTATTTGTATAATTTACTGATATTATAATTGTAATCTATCTTAGGTTTTTGGCTGTTCCATTGTCATTTCCTATTCCACATCGTTATTGGAATGAATTTGATTTTACAGGTTGGCACAAACGCTGATCTGCCACCTGTGCCTCCAGGTTTTCCGACATGCGGTGACCACACTCCACCCATACCGATAAATTAAGTAAAACAAGAAAAACGCAACACAAATTGAGCCACGTTAAAAGGAAGCAAAGCATTTTTAATAACAGAACAAGACCTACATACTTATTAATTAGTTTGTACAAAGCTTGGTACAGCACATAATACATATGTGCAATTAATGTATATATTTTTGTATAAATAGCACAAAGCAACCTATGCCTATTTAAATAATGCCAATATTGCCAACTTTTCAATCAGAATTAATACTCATAAATAATTAATATAAATAGCATCTTTCCCCTCTCCTTGACACTTACGTACTTATTATCAAATGTATATATTCTCAGACGAAAAATTTAATAGAATCCAACCAAAAATGTATGATTTTTTATGCGTTTTTTGCAATTGATAATATAAATACATTTAAATTTTCTGTAAATAACGTTTTTATCGTGTTAATTTGGTTGCAGGTTTATTTACTTGCATATAGATGAATAATTTAAAAACACATAAAATATGGCAAATTTTTTGAACATTTTTCTTTTACTAAATCATCGAATGATAGTTGAGACGTACATTTATATCCGCCAGTTTCGAGTTTTTTTGTGCTAAATTTAGATTTACTCAATATTTAATTATCCCAAAATTTATTTCTCTATTGCAAACACAATTTTAATGTATAAATGTAATATACATAAAAATCACGTAAATGTATGTAGTAAATTGAGAACTCCATGCTCACAAAGGCGAAACAAAAAATATTTAATAAAGACTAATCAACTATTTTTCGAACTTTTTGTAGTTTATTAAGTTCGTTTTTAGGATCATGCAAAATAGGCATTGAAGTTGGGTATAGGTATATGTATATAAGTAAAAATTCATCGTCAGCCTGCCCTCAATCTTATATTACAAATTAATTGCGTATACATTGCACTTTACGTTTTATCATTTATGTAAAATTTATTTATGTATGTAAATATACAAATAATGCATGCTTACATGTTACCTTCTTAATAATGCATTTAAATATTAGTGTAAATAACATGAAAATAAAAATATATATATATGTATGTTTATATATTAATAAATATATATGTTTATAAATATATAAATATATATTATATATGTGTATGTATGTATTGTTGTATGTATATTGAAAATCCTAATAATAAATACACGTTTTACTAAAAGGTGCAACTTTGACCTTTATACCAACTCTATTTTTTTTAGGTATTATGTTTTAGATTATTTTATTCTCGCAATAAAATTGGAAGTTACTATCTTAACAAAAACTGAAACATTGAAGTATTGATGTAAATAACATCAATATTAAAAACTTACTAAATAAATATATATGTATATTTGATTTGGATGATATATATATATGTATAATATATGAAATTTAAATAAAAGTAGCTACTTTGGCGTTTTCAATGACTTAAATTTTTAAAAGTATTATTTTACATAATTTTATTCTTGAAATAAAGTTGAAAATGACCATCTCAACAATAACTGAGCACATTCTAACCAAGTCTCTTATTCGCAGATTCTCAACCCTCTGGATGCCATTTGTGACCGCAAACGACCAGATGCTGTTTGCGTTTCCAATTTAAAAAATGCAAAAAAAATCGACAAGGGAGTGTTAGTTGAACGTCCTGATGTAAAAATTTTTTTACCTTTCAGATTTTATGTTTATGAGCCAAAAGCTTTATTTATACCAAACACATACAACCGCTTTTTAGGTATGTTTACTTAAATTGGTTACTAAATAACTAATCATTTTTGTGACTAACAATGTCCTTTTATTTATGACGCTTTAATCGGGTTTTCCCATACAACGACACCATTATACATTTTCCTATACTAAAAGTTGTGCCAAGTGGGGATCATCTGACATCTTTGGTCGATGAAATATCATACATTTCACCACCGGCTCCTCCTCTATCACAAATTGATGACATACCACCCGAATTTTTCTGCAATGGAGACAATCGACCGCCTAATTGTGGACCCAACTGTGAATGTACTCATATGGTTGATATACCGCTTGGAGCAATTGTTGAAGTGGTTCTGGTCGATGAAGTACAACAAGTGAATCTCAGTCACCCATTTCATTTGCACGGAACCGCTTTTTATGTAGTAGGACTGGGTCGCTCACCGGATAAGTCAATAAAAAAAATCAACTTAAAACATGCTTTGGAGTTGGATCAAAGGGGCATGCTGGAGCGGGATTTTTCTAAGCCCCCACTTAAGGACACAATAGCTGTACCTAACAATGGATACGTAGTTATACGGTTTCGCGCAGACAATCCCGGTTATTGGCTGTTTCACTGCCATTTTCTTTTCCATATAGTCATAGGAATGAATCTTATTTTCCATATCGGCACACAATCTGACCTTCCAGCAGTTCCACCCCGATTTCCGACATGCGGCGATCATGTGCCACCTGTCACTTGGTACTAGCACACTATACTAAAAATGTAAAAAAATGTTAATGTATTTCTCATTTTGAGTAATCAATTGATGCAATATTTACGTAACATAAGATAACATTATAAAATAGCGTTTTAGACCAAACAACGAATGTAAAAAACCTACATAGAAATGATAAATTTCCGTTTGTTGTGGCCTAAGTTTTATTTGTTATTTTTTAAGTAGCCTAACTTTATTATAACATATTTATTATTCACGTATGCATATGAGTTCAACTTTGGTATAAGAAGACATTTACTTGTGCAGCTGCTCAAGGATTAAATTATGCTGTGGTATTTGATTGTTAAAACTAAAAACTATACAACTGCATTAATATACTATAAAAAGAAAATAAATAAAACCAAACACTAAGATAAAGATCCTTATTGCACATTTCCATTTTATAGTCGCCTCGGATGCAGACCATCTCGTATCACTTATCGATGAGATATCATACATATCGCCACCTTCCCCAATGCTTTCACAGTATAATGACATACCGCAGAGCTATTACTGTAATGGGGACAATAGACCAGCAGACTGTGGTGAAAACTGCCAATGTACTCATAAAATCGATATACCTCTTAACTCAATTGTTGAGGTTGTGCTGGTCGATGAAGTTCAACAGATAAATATCAGTCATCCGTTTCATTTGCACGGTACATCTTTTTATGTACTAGGACTTGGACGATCACCAGACGTAAATATCGAGCATATGAACTTAAAACATGCTCTGGAACTAGATCAACGCGGTTTGCTGAAAAGACAATACCTGCAACCTTCACTTAAGGACACTGTTGCGGTACCAAATAATGGCTATGCAATTTTACGTTTTCGAGCAGATAATCCAGGATTTTGGTTATTTCATTGTCATTTCCAATACCATATTGTAATAGGGATGAACTTGGTATTTCAAATTGGTACTCTTACTGATCTGCCTCCTGTACCTCCAAATTTTCCGCGCTGTGGCAACCATTTACCTCCCATAACGCCAATAAGCTTAACCATGGGGGGTAAGTTTTAACTTATTTAAATAAAAAAATATACAATAAAAATCAACAACCAAAATATAATTATTTATATAAGCTCCATATTAAATAAAATTTACTTTATCATTTCCGTGGTATTCAGCTCTATGCATATTATTAACGAATATATTTATAAAATATGATTAAATTATGAGCGAAATTTGGGAATTTATTTTAAGCGAAAAGATAATAAAACAATACATCTTAACGATCGCGAGGCGTTTAAATATTCAAATATTACTTAGACCAAATATCTAGTGATTACTTTTTACGTTATTACTTTTTTAGGCGTATTTCTAAAAAAAAAAAACAAAAAAAGAAAGCTAACTTCGCCATGCCGAAGTTTGTATACCCTTGCAGATTGCAATTGCAATCATTAAGAATCGAGCAATTCTGGTTAAACATATAAAAAAAATTTATATAAAAGTTGTGTATTTATCAGAGCTTGCAAATAACTGTCGACGGGGTTTTTCCTGTGCTCTCGTTGCGAGCAAAACCGAAAAAGATCATTCTATCTCGCTCTCGCTCAGAGCAAGGGAGTTTCGCTGTCTTCATTTCGGTTTTTTGTTGAACGCTTTTCGTTGAGCTCTTTTTACTTCGGCCTTTCAATGAGCCGTGCATAAAGAGCGGGACGAGAAACGTTCGCACACAGAGAGCCAAAGACCAAGTGACCGAACAGCTCAGCGCGAACGGTCTTCACCTTTGTTTGTTTTTTGTTTTATTTATTTATTTTTGTGAACAAGTGTCCATATAACAAAATGCTATTAAAAAGAAAAGAAAAAGTTTCAGACAATGTTGTTTTTAAATCGCAACTAAACTTTTAACGATTTGCTTGCCTATGCGTGTAATGTATACCAATACATACGCAAAAGACTTTTGTTCACTGACCACGGTTCATGGGACAACCAAAACAAAACAGAATAGAAAAAAACGAGTTCGCTCTGAACGCGCGCGAGCTCATTCCAAGAACTCATGAACGGGTGCTCTCTGAGTCTTTTCGTAAAGAGTGAGGGAGAGACACATATATGCAGACAGCTAGAAACTGTCGACAGTTTTTTGCAAGCTCTGGTATTTATACATAGCATAAATGAAATGCTGAAAACACACATAACAGGGTTTTATAACATTTTACCTATACTTATTATGTTTACAGTTTTACAGTTACAGTTTTACTTGTATGGCAGCTATATGATATAGTCGTCCGATCCGACATATATAGCAGTGAGAGTATATAGAAGACTATATGCATAGTTTCATTCAGATAGTTTTAAAACTGAGGGACTAGTTTGCGTAGAAACGGACAGACGGACGGACATGGCTAGATCGACTCGGCTGTTGATCTGTTGATCAAGAAATAATATATACTTTATAGGATCGAAAAAGTCTCCTCCACTGCGTTGCAAGCTTCTGACTGAAATTATAATAACCTGCAACGGTATAAAAAGAAACAATCATAAATTTCTAAAGCTGATGTTTATGCTCTAAAGCAGCGATGGGCACGCAGTGGCTCAATTTGCTCACGCTGCTCAAACCGTTATCTTTTTTCGGAGGCGCCAGCATGTCGCACAATTGCAGACGCACAAGTGCAGTGCTCGCGACCAGCGAACCGTGAAGATTTACAAAAACAACCACACTGACCTTTGGCGCAGGTAGCGAGCCCATCGCCGCGATCCCGAGTTTGCAACAACAAAACACAAGCGACCCGAACTCGCACATCGTCCCAAAAACAAGAACAATTTTAAAGGGAACTGTGCGGCTAGCGTTGACTTCTGCACTAAAGAAAAAAGTTTGGATTTCTTTTGCAGTCGTTTTTCTTAGGCGGACATAAATGCACGTAAAAATGGCTGAAGATATTGATCTACTCAAAAAGTTTTTGTCAGTGTATTTTCTCGGCTCGCACATTCTGTGTGTCGCGTGGGTGCGACGGTTCGCAACGCTGGGGGTTGTTGTTGTTTTTTTTTTTCAGCGAGCTGCTGCTCAAACCGTTAGATCTCGTGCCCATCGCTGCTCTAAAGAAAAAGTGTGAGTGCCGGCGGATGCCGAGTCAGTCCCTAAAACTGAACTTCATTCGCACACTAGAAGAGTTTAACAAGAAAACGATAGTTTTCACTGGAACTGCCAAAAAGTGTACAGTCTTACACACTTTCAACCCTAAAACCATGATATTCAATTAAAAATGTATCCCGCTAAACTCAAAAATCCAGGAAAAAAAAAATTAATGGTGAATGGAATAGAACAATATAGAATAGAATAACGTAAATATTGTTTTATACAACCGACTTGCAATAATGA